AAAGATAAATATACGTATGTACGTGAGTTTTTAGAAGTCATTTGATATTAATTACGGGATAGCGAACATTTGTAGAGTTTCTGGTTTGAATAATTACCCTTCACAAGAATCATTACGCATCATGTGATACAAACAATTAGGATGCATTCTCTCTTTGATGTTTCAGTAAGTATCAAATTGTACGTTGTAAATAACATTAATCATCCCTATAAACAAGGTTACAACAAGCATTCAATCATTACGTCGTGACAAAGTTCCACATTTATCGGAATACGGATTTTTATTTCGATTCATGACGGAGTCGCCCGAATTATAACTATCACCTCAACAGGAAGCTAAAAGATTTTTTTAATGATTGAATATTGTGTCCAATATGTGACAACTGTGACAGGAAACAGTTATCTAACGGGGGTTAAATATTTAAAACAAATGGTTATCATAAACGAACTTATAATGATATTATACTTATATTTTATTCTATTCAATTTCAACAGTCTTCACGAATCCTTCCTTCCATCCATTTCCTATGTAATGGCGTTGTTCCGGATGTGGGGATATAGCTGGTCTTGACCGGACACTAATTAGTTAATTGGACCGTGAATGCGCCTGGATAAGCAGCGTGACAACTCATTTTACCCATATTGCATAAGGGAATGAATTCTCCGCTTGCATTTTAATAGGATATATCAAAATAATTAATAATGGAATTTTCTCGCTCAAAAATCACCTTCCTTATTATATTATCGCCAGTTTTATTTTTATCCCAAAACGCGCTATTTTTTGTGTGCTATTTTTCTACAGCTTCCTAAACCTTATCTTGAAAATCAGTACTGATGTTTCTGTAATTTTTTCCATGCTTGGATATATCTTTTTTGTTTTGTTTTTATCTCTACAGAGCTGATGGGTTTATCTGTACATATACGATTGTCAAACATTAATCTTATGTCTTATAACGTCATCAACATCCACTCACAGGATTATAAAAATATATACCTATCGTATAATGGTCAAGAAGGCATGTCTCTGTATAAAAATGGTCATACTGTTCGTTACTTGTCAATTGTTATCCTAGAACACGGAGACTTAAATGAAATATAACTTAGAATACTTTATAAATACAACTGATGAGCAGGGATCGACGTATTTTTATTATCTGTATAATATACTTTTTATAATATATCATATTAAGTGGGTACGTAAATGTATCATTAGAAAAATATTCAAATATTCTGCCAGAATATTGAGATGTTATTATTGATGTTATCATTATATTATGATAAACAGTTAACATTAGGGTTTATGATAATTGGACAATATCCAATTTGTCTTTTTATCAAAGTCTGTTTAGGCATAGTATAGAAATATACAGGTAAATAACACATCTTGAGATCAGATGGTGACCATAGTCACACCCCTGTATCCAGGTGTGTCAAAGTGTTCACCCAGGTATATTTCTAACATGAAAGGGATGTCAGCACCAGCTGTAATTGATATGTGTCTTCCAATTAACGTGCTAGGCAGATATTGAACAGTTCACCCGATCGATTCGTTACTTTTTGTTCGTGTCAGCTGGGCTAAGTTTCGCATTTTTTCCATATCGTTTTGTACTTTTTGCATAAACATCTATGATTTGTCACTAGTTTTATAATACCTCTACAAAACACAATGTTCCGTCACTGCTGAAATAAGACCGATTATAAAACTAGCATATTATATGAGACTCCCACTGCATTTACACCAGTCATAATATCGCTACCGTTCATCGATTTTTGTGCTGAAGATTTCCGAAAAGTTACCGGGAAAAAGGAGAAGCTCGTAAAGGTAATCAAACAGTCTCACCTGTATCCGAACCCATTCGACTACAATCGTATCGAGGGGTGAAAATCGATTCAGAGTACTACGTAAGTGATATCATCTCATACACTTCTACTTCCAAGTCCACACTCTTGTCCTCCTTCACATTCCCTCCTACAACCCCCGAGTCTTTTCAAACTCTCACTCTCTCATATACTTCTACTTACTTACTTCTCCTCTCTTGCTCTTTAATATAGTCCTTCTCACTTCTTTCCCAGTCCACACCCTTGTCCTCCTTCACATTCCCTCCCACAACCCCCGAGTCCTTTCAAACTCTAACCCTCTCATAATCCATTTTCATCATTATAAAACAGCAATTACCTGCAGTTACCAAAGAGGAATTCGTCATTAGTTACAGACACATCATCACATACGCGTATACACATCGGTACTCTCTTAGACAAACCATCACACCTACACACACTCATTCCTCACCCTTACATCGTTACCCCCCCCCTCCCACACACACACACACCACCACCACCACCACCACACACACCCTCACACACACACACATACACAAACACACACACACGCACACGCACACACACACACACACACATATATATTCCTCATCCTTACATTGTTATCCTCACTCACATACCATATCACAAAGAAGATGAGTGTTTTATTTATATTACAGAATTGTCCCAGAGAACATGGGCGTTTGATTCTATTTCAGTATTGCATATGTTATATAATAATGACTTACTTTTCCATAAAAAAAATCTGGAATTTGAAGTTACAGGTAGAATGTGGTGATGAGATCAATACTGGAGCCACTGAAGTTATTCTAAATGGTATGCAAACTTTCAAACTCTCTGTTGGTTACTTTAAACTGCGCCCCTCTCTTATCTTCAGTTAATACAGCAGGCCCCACTTGTATAAAACATCTCAACTTGAGATTTCCTCAAGTGGAGATTTTCTTCAGCTGATATCTCTTCAAAAACGGCTTGTATAAAATTTTCTCAAGGAACAGGAGGAAGGCATCGGCTAGGATGTCCTGAAATTCCTTGAGGAATTTTCATACAAGATATTTTCAAGGAGATATTAGCTGAGGAAAATCTTGGCTTGAGGAAATCTCAAGTTGAGATGTTTTATACAAGCTACGCCTTGTTTTAAAACAATTTGTTTATCATTATGTATAGATCTGAAGAATACTGATGTAAATAAAAACATTGAGATATATGTTCTAACGTTCACATGTGTTGATGTTCTAATAAACATACCCATTAAACATAGAAATTACTCTCAGTGCCACAAGTAAAAATGATTGTTTAAATGTGTCGACAGGAATTATCATAACGTTTCGAAGGAAACAAGATTGCACGACCTGGTATTTGTGAAAAGTATGAGATTGGGATCTATTTTTTCGAAGGTCGAGCGCGTCTGAAATGTTTAACAACCGTGGAGAAGACTAAATTATATATTACAAGAAGTGATTATAAATGTAAAAACCTTGACGATCGATGGAAGTCGCTATTTCGATAGACTTATAGAATTGGAAATTCGATTGGCTCAACCAGCATATCGCGAATAATATTTAGGAGGTATGAAAGAGATTGTGAAAAGAAAGATATTGATACTAGATTTAAGATTTAGTAATGAAAAATTCTAGGGGATTAGTACGTGGTCAGCTTAGGAAATGTTTGTGTCAATTAGGGTGACAACCATCTACATCAAACATTGTTTGATAATTAAACATAACTCAAACATGATACACTTTATTCATTACAGATAGCACCTTAGATTATGCAGTGTATATAGCATTTTAAACAGAAATTAAGTTTAATTTTAGATTTTACGAAACAGTTCTTCGAAGTTTTTGTTTTTAGATGCCTTGGCAGCAAAAATCAAAGCTTCGTGATGAGATTCTTAAATCTCATATTCATTGGAAACAAGATGCTATTATCACATATCTCACAAAAATGACATTTTAACTGGTTTTAGAAATAAAGAAATGTGGAAGACAAAATGAAATGTGGGCAGCCATTTTGTTGCACCATTTTCAATCATTGTCCATATTACGATATCAATATCTATTTACAACTGTCCTAGTAAAAAAAAGAGATTGTACGATATATTTGTGACATAAAGGCAACAGACTTGCGTAATATCACGTTTGTATTGTAGCTCAGACAACCGATGTCGGTTGTATTTGTCGCAAATCCAATAATTGAACTATTTTGGCACATTCAACTGGCAATGATAAACAATCGTTAAAAGATAGTGTTAATTCATCACCATAAATTGATTTCAGCGAATGATAAACATATATAACAAACTAAAACCAGTTTAAAATCACTGGGATGTAAGAAAACAACAAGAAAATACCAATATGTCAACATAATAATCTTACAAACAACATTTCAATAAAACTTAGGCAAAATAAGAATAAAAGAAATATCAACACAGTCACTCATGAAACAAAAGGAGATTAAGGCCACGTGTTCCGGAAGAGTAAGCGTATCTTTCTTCATTCACGACGTCCGCCATGTAAATTCAAATGAATTCACAAATAAATAATGTCACGTTCTCAAATGAGAACAATGTATACAACAACGCAACCAACAGGCTAACTAACGAGCATGACACACGTCTAGCTTCAGTTCTATATGAGATCACTATGATTACCGTTAATGTTTATTTTAATTTTCATTAACTTGCATCATTTGAAACGCTATGTCAAGATTTTATCTGTTAGTTGATGATTTACACGAAAATATTTTAAGCAGCATAACGTCTTTGCAAAGTATTATCCAACAAGGCTAATATGACTGGATTTGTGATTGGAATTAAGGTGTTTTAAATGATATACTATGTATTTATTATACCATTTTTAAAACGTTTGGCTGACGTTGGAAGGTGTACCCATATATATATATATTGTTAAGGATTGTTTAACGATTAGACATGTAGTAAGTTGAACATTAAATAGGTCTTCCATAGCACGCACCAGTTAAAAAACATAAATTATTAATTACAGATTATGGATTACGGATCAAACTGTGACATAGTGACGATCCGAGAATTAGATTTTGTAGACAAAGTCTTCTTAGTTCCCAAGGAATCGGCAGCAGGGAGATGAGATGGGGAAGTGTCTCCTGTTATTGGCTGCCGTGTCAGTGTCACAATGTAAGTAAGATTTAGGGAGTAAGGGGAGGGGGCAGTGTTTGGTGTGGGTGTGGAGGTAGGGGAGTTGGAGTGGGGGCAGTGTTTGGTGTGGGTGTAGGTGTAGAGGCGTTGGAGTGGGGGCAGTGTTTGGTGTGGCTGTGGAGGTAGGGAGTTGCTGTGGGGACAGTGTTTGGTGTGGATGTGGGTGTAGAGGCGTTGGAGTAGGGACAGTGTTTGGTGTGGGTGTGGAGGTAGGGGAGTTGGAGTAGGGGCAGTGTTTGGTGTGGAGGTAAGGGAGTTGGAGTGGGGGAAGCATTTGGTGTGGTTGTGGGGGAGTTGGGGTGGGGTAAGCGTTTGGTGTAGTTGTGGTTGTGGGGGAGTTGGGGTTGGGGAAGTGTTTGGTGTGAGTGTGGAGGTAGGGGAATCGGAGTGGGGGAAGTGTTTGGTGTGGGTGTAGAGAAGTTGGAGTGGAGAAGGTGCGTGGTGTGAGTGTAGAGAAGTTGGGGTTGGGGAAGTGTTTGGTGTGGGTGTGGGTGTAGAGGAGTTGGGGTGGGGGAAGTGTTTGGTGTGGGTGTGAGTGTAGAGGAGTTGGGGTGGGGGAAGTGTGTGGTGTGGGTGTGGAGAAGTTGGGGTGGGGTAAGTGTTGTGTGTGAGTGTAGAGGAGTTGGGATGGGGGAAGTGTTTGGTGTGGGTGTGGGTGTGGAGGAGTTGGGATGGGGTAAGTGTTTGGTGTGGGTGTGGGTGTAGAGGCGTTGGAGTGAGGGCAGTGTTTGGTGTGGGTGTGGAGGTAGGGGAGTTGGGTAGGGGGAAGTGTTTGGTGTGAGTATGGAGGTAGGGGAATCGGAGTTGGGGGAAGTGTTTGGTGTGGGTGTAGGTGTAGAGTAGTTGGAGTGGAGGAAGTGTGTGGTGTGAGTGTAGAGGAGTTTGGGTGGGGGAAGTGTTTGGTGTGGGTGTGAGTGTAGAGGAGTTGGGGTGGGGGAAGTGTGTGGTGTGAGTGTGGCTGTGGAGGAGTTGGGTGGGGTAAGTGTTTGGTGTGAGTGTGGCTGTGGAGGAGTTGGGTGGGGTAAGTGTTTGGTGTGAGTGTAGAGGAGTTGGGGTGGGGGAAGTGTTTGGTGTGGGTGTGGGTGTGGAGGGATTGAGGTGGGGTAAGTGTTTGGTGTGGGTGTAGGTGTGGAGGAGTTGGGGTGGGGTAAGTGTTTGGTGTGGGTGTGGGTGTAGAGGAGTTGGGGTGGGGTGTGTTTGGTGTGGGTGTGGGTGTGGAGGAGTTGGGGTGGGGGAAGTGTTTGGTGTGAGTGTAGAGGAGTTGGGGTGGGGGAAGTGTTTGGTGTGGGTGTGAGTGTAGAGGGGTTGGGGATGGGGTAAGTGTTTAGTGTGGGTGTGGGTGTAGAGGAGTTGGAGTGGGGAAGTGTTTGGTTGGGGTGGGGGAAGTGTTTGGTGTGGGTGTGGGTGTGGAGGATTTTGGGTGGGGGAAGTGTTTGGTGTGGGTGTGGGTGTAGAGGAGTTGGGGTGGGAGCACTGTTAGGTGTGGGTGTGGAGGTAGGGGTGTTGGAGTGGGGGGCAGTGTTTGGTGTGGAGGTAGGGGAGTTGGAGTGGGGGAAGCATTTGGTGTGGGTGAAGAGGAGTTGGGGTGGGGGAAGTGTTTGGTGTGGTTGTGGAGGTAGGGGAATCGGAGTGGGGGAAGTGTTTGGTGTGGGTGTAGAGATGTTGGAGTGGAGGAAGTGTGTGGTGTGAGTGTAGAGGAGTTGGGGTGGGGAAAGTGTTTGGTGTGGGTGTGGGTATGGAGGAGTTGGGGTGGGGGAAGTGTTTGGTGTGGGTGTGAGTGTAGAGGAGTTGTGGTGGGGAAGTGTGTTTTGTGAGTGTGGCTGTGGAGGAGTTGGGGTGGGGTAAGTGTTTGGTGTGAGTGTAGAGGAGTTGGGGTGGGGGAAGTGTTTGGTGTGGGTGTGGGTGTGGAGGAGTTGGGGTGGGGTAAGCGTTTGGTGTGGGTGTGGGTATGGAGGAGTTTGGGTGGGGTAAGTGTTTGGTGTGAGTGTGGGTATGGAGGAGTTGGGGTGGGGTAAGTGTTTGGTGTGGGTGTGGGTGTGGAGGAGTTGGGGTGGGGTAAGTGTTTGGTGTGGGTGTGGAGGATTTTGGGTGGGGGAAGTGTTTGGTGTGGGTGTGGGTGTAGAGGAGTTGGGGTGGGAGCACTGTTAGGTGTGGGTGTGGAGGTAGGGGTGTTGGAGTGGGGGGCAGTGTTTGGTGTGGAGGTAGAGGAGTCGGGTGTTTGGTGTGGGTGAAGAGGAGTTGGAGTAGGCGAAGTGTTTGGTGTGGTTGTGGGGGAGTTGGGGTGGGGGAAGTGTTTGGTGTGGTTGTGGGGGAGTTGGGGTGGGGGAAGTGTTTGGTGTGGGTGTGGAGGAGTTGGGGTGGGGTAAGTGTTTGGTGTGGGTGTGGAGGAGTTGGGGTGGGGGAAGTGTTTGGTGTGGGTGTGGAGGAGTTGGGGTGGGGTAAGTGTTTGATGTGAGTGTGGAGGTAGGGGAATCGGAGTGGGGTAATTGTTTGGTGTGGGTGTGGGTGTGGGTGTGGAGGAGTTGGGTTGGGGTAAGTGTTTGGTGTGGGTGTGGGTGTAGAGGAGTTGGAGTGAGGGAAGTGTTTGGTGTGAGTGTGAAGGTAGGGGAATTGGAGTGGGGTAAGTGTTTGGTGTGTTGGGGTGGGAGTTGGGATGGGGTAAGTGTTTGGTATGATTGTGGAGGAGTTGGAGTTGGGTTAGTGTTTGATATGAGTGTAGGGAGGGGGTTATCAAATTTTCTTTTCATATTACCATTTCATAAATTCATTTATCTGTACGGGTGTAAATTTGTTTGAACGATTACACGGAAACTTGAATATTTTTACATTTCTAATTATACATGTAACATACCAGCACACCAATAAAATGCTTATATCTATGTTGTTATCGATTTGTAGAAGAAAAGTATAATAATTTTACTGAAGTGAAAAGACGCATTTTGAAGCTTGCATATTGGCATATATTCCGAAGATAGAGAGGGATTAAGTTATTCACTGGTGCTTGCTCATATCAACCTGATATAGAAAATCACAACACAAAATTGCGAGAGATGCAGGTTGATAAAGAGTGTACAAAATCACTCAAGTGAACAGCACCTTTCAGTTCAGATTTAGACCACAGTAATAGAATATAACATATTTTAACGGTCGAAACAGATTTTCCTCGACAATAAGCAGTTATGAGGAGATGTTATTAGGTTTTCCATGATGTTATATTTGAAACGTTTAACTTACAAAATGTTATCAAATGAGTTTATGAATAGTGGTTTGCTATGATAATTTTCAGCAATATCTAAAAAGGCATTTGATAAAGGTCATTTCAATATTGCAATTTTAAGAAATAGATATAAATACAACAGGTATTTTTTTGAACCAAATCACAATCTTGTATCCCCTGTTAGCACTATATTACCCCATGTGTATTTTTTTTTCAATTTTCATGAACGCTTCAATGCGAGTGAAATGATCAAACTGTATCATACAGATTAAGACTCGAGGCTTAGAGCCTAAATTATTAATACTAATGGGAATGACTGAGAAAATCCAACCTCCTCCAACTATTTCGATGATTATGTGGCAGTGTTGTGGTTGTCATAATGATATCACTTGGATTTTTTTAATGTGGCGTTGCTGGTTAGTATGCTTGGTTGTTCCATTGTTGTGAACCTGGTTCTCTTGGGAACATGACGTTACTAACTTGGTTTGACCAAAATTGACGTAGAGGTATCTTACTCCGAAGTATATTTTTTCAGTAGGCGAAATGTAACCTTTTTAAAGCATATTTTGCCACAGTTTCATCGATATTACTTTTGATTCTGTCAGCATATCGGTTTGTTTTTGTTTTGATGAGCTCTATGTTCGAATGTCCGAATCTGTTTATCAGTTGGTAATCAATACGTATCAGTCTATTTTCAATATTTAGCTTGGGATATCATCACAGACGCTGATACGGACATGCGCTCTCTATGACTATTCTTATTTGAAGCCTACTTATCTTCGGAAAATCGTGATAAAAATCATGGCGAATAAATCTTTTTTGCTGTGAAAACTATATGTTCCTGAGAGGGATTTTTTCTAATGATTAGGTACTACTGGCTGCATGTTCTATGAAATGAAAATAATCAGACAATTTAACTATCCTATTATACGTGCTCGCAAGGCTTGAATTGCATGGCTTGTCTGAAATAAATAAATTGGAAGAGCGTTTCATTGGCATTTGATTTCGTACATAACATAGTATCCATTAAGTCTACTAGTAGCAGAGTTACCAGCAATTTGAACTTGTTTAAGATTTGGTGGCTAAATGCGTTCGTGGAGACGTTGTATTACATAAACGATTTTTGTTGTTTATTCTAAATGCTGGAATGTTGGAAGAGATTCCAATTAATCGAATCATTTTTAAGGCAATAACTTTGAAGTCTTTAAAAACGACATAACGACAATAATCATGGTAGTTTTTTTCGTGATTTCCCTATCTTTATTTGATAGTAATACATTGTACCTATAACATCATGCTTGTTTGGCTATACATTCATAAATCATCTCAAGAATCATTCAAAATTTTTATTAATGGTTATTCTATTTCTGCAAATTTCATTTGATGTTTATCCCCATTAATAGAATTCAGAATTCCTGTATGTCGAGGATAGTCTGAGTTCCAACCTAGAATGGTTCTGACATTGTCATGGTAAAAAGATGTAAATTTGTAAATTTGTGTTCGTGATAATAAGTGGAATGTTGTACCCAAATTTCGCACCGTTTCATAAATTCATATATACCCCCATGAATTGTTACCTAACCCATTTCAGTTCTCACACAATGCTGGGGAGAGATGGATTGTTGGGATTACCTTGTATCTGGACCCCAGGGAGTCCCCGACTCGGCCATAACAGCCTCATCCCATCATGAATCTAGTGGAAGCTGGTCTCATACGCCAGCCTGTGGTCGCTTGCACATGTACCACGAGTGGTCATCGAGCGGATGTCCAAGCTTGAATGCCGGATGCTGGTGTAGTCTACGTGGAGATTCAAAACCGCATATCCAGGTATTTTTTGAAGACTGTATCATATATCAGTGATTTTTTGTCTAATGATAACACAATGATAAAGATTGATTTGGTAATGATTGACCATAGCAAATCGTTCTTAGCATACTTACCAGCATATTTATGTAATTTGAACGAATAAATAATCATTTTAAGATTACTAGCAAATGGCCTAGATCCTGAAGTTAAACCAACACTTCTGGATTACATAATGTATTTTAGTGTCTACAGACAAGGTATATATTAACTTGATCCTTATATGCAGACATTATTATATTTCTCTCATAAAAAAAGGAAACTACGATTGCTCATTGACATAGGAAGCACTACCTACATGTCTTATACATTATCCAATCTTTCGAAAGAGGAAATACCAGCTTATCAGGAATCCGTATTACAATGATTCAGATAATTAATTACAGACTAAACTTACTATTAACAGATTTAAACGATGTGTTATTGCTGGCTCGTTTTACGGATGTTATATTAATGTCAATGGGAGATATGGGGATAAGAAGACTCGTTTGGTACTCATTAGCATACATGATGGTTCCATTGCTGGTTACCGTGTCCCTATTTGGTCCCGTGATATTACTTACTCGGATTGACCAGTTTACTTGACTGGTGTCGTCGATGAAGCAGAAGATGCTGGTGCCGTTGAATTATTGCTCTGTCGCCGTCGCGTCGTCACAATCTCGATTTGTCGACTTGAAGTAACAGCGAGGAGCTAGGGTGGTCAGTTAGGGTAATTTCTCATTCTCGCTGTGTCGACTTTACCTTAATTATTCGCTGTTAAAATCCAGTCTGCATCGTGGTTTAATGTTTTCTATTGATAAAAGAACCTATCATATAGAGTTAAATAAAGGGAAGAAACTCATGGAAAGCTACAGTAAAAACGTCTGGTTGATCTTGGTTCAAACCAACTAAATTCATTTCATAGATGATGTTGTAAGACCATGTAACGAGCACGTGCATTTTAAGTACCTATATTATTGTTCTGACCCAATACCGAATTAGGATACATAGATACCAAAGCTCCTTGGAGAATTAGGATACATAGATACCAAAGCTCCTTGGAGAATTAGGATACATAGATACCAAAGCTCCTTGGAGAATACGGATCCTTGGATACCAAAGTTCTTTGGAGAATTAGGAGCCTGTTTTGAAACCATGGCGTTTGGCCATGTCGATGTCACTTAATGATATAACGTGGTGATGTCTTCTACAAAATTGAAAATGTTTAAACTTAACTTGTTATAAGAACAAAAACGTCTTTCATGATAGTAAAACCTGTTGTTACTACTTTAAGAGTTTCGAGTTTATATTGGAACTCTTGAATATGAAAAGCAAAAAATATATATATATATATAAATAAGAGTTTGCTGATGTCATATTTTAGATTTTTTTTACCTGTAAGTTTTTTTTTATATAAATTTAGCAAATTTTGAATGGGGAATACACATGCATGAATAGCACAAGTCTGTATACGGGGAAAAGTAATTAGAACTTTACTTGAATGTCAATGGAGTTTTGTCGAATTTATTTCATATATATAGATTTTCCTATAGATATTCGAATGTTGACCGTGCTTCCGGCAAATTTGTCATCGAAATGCACTTCATAATTATGTGTCATTTCGTTATTCACTTGGCTTAATGGAATGTCATCCTTTTAAAGATTGATTATCGGGAGCTAATCAGGAGATTTTTGTGAGATTGTGTCGATAACTACAGTTAAATCTTCAACTTGACTGGTTACACATGGTTATGGGTTACTATTGCACTTTTGCTGAAGAAGTCCAACAGGTATAATGTCACACTGCTATCAAACTCATAGGCTCACCTCGTTTCTCACACAATATTACATCGCACAGCAACAAAACCCGTTGTGTATTGAACAAAAGGTGGTAATTAAATCGCTTCATCATAAAAAATGTTCATCTGTTTTAGAAAGTAATGTGTCTTTATTTGTATCATTACAGGTGAAATTTAGTGATCCAAAGAAGATAGTTGCCATGGTTCTTCAACAACGACAAAATTATTCCTCGACGTTGTACAATATTCGTACCTATCACGTATTGTACAGCATGGATGGTGAAGACTGGGACTACGTCAAGACAGAGGGAACTACACAGGTAATAATAACATTCGATGTAATCGTCTTGATAATAAAACTGTGGTGTAATTATCATCTATACACTGTTCAAAAACATGAAAGACCTGGTGGTGAGCAGTAAGCTGCCAACAACTTCCCACACTCCTGCAACTGGCTGTTTCAAAACATGTAACAGTAAGAGGTGCAAGCTTTGTCCGTATATTTACAGTACCAATTCAATCTAATGTGAGGCCAAAACTACAACATCCTCCAGTCGGTACCATGCACATCGGCCAATGTAATATACTTGATTACGTGTGCCAAGTGCCGGTACATCTCAATCCATCATTGAGGCAACTAGTACAGTATCACCCACCTATCCGCCTCCTTTCAGGAAAAAAGAGGTGGGGTGTTCTTTTTTAGATAAACTTATTTGCTCTATTTATTGCACTTTTTATCTACTTACTATATCTGCTTTCCTTCCTATTTGAGATTGGCACCGTTTATCAAACTCTAGTCCGGAAGTAGAAATTTTCACTTTTATAGGGCGACTTTTCTTTGGGCGAGTTGGCGATTCTGGGACTATTTGACCATATTCAAAATTATATTTATCTTATAGGTGTATATTTTGTGCATTTAATCGGTGGGGTTTTTTTTATCAAAAGTACTTTTACTGTTATATTGTAACTACACGTACATTTAGCATTTTTTCACAAGAAATTTTCTTATCTTCAATCAAACAATTCCTCGTTTAGAATGTGGCCGAGATGTACCGGTAGACTACTTTCCTCGGAGTGTGACGTGCAATTGTTTTCATTGCGATCACTTATACGTTCAATGTCTACCGTACAAAACATACCGAGATAAATATAAAACATTTTTGGTATTTTAATCACCATCTCCCGTACAACGGCTTGGGATGTTTTTTGTCCGCTATAAAGAACCTTCGGTGTCCATCGACAGAAGGGATTATCGAGGTACCTAAATTTATAACTTTCTATTTGTTTTATGTTCTAATATAGACTACGTAATATTTGTGTCTTGATAAAGGGGCAGGTCGCCTCGAAAATTTGACAATTCGCTTGTTCGTCCTGTCGCTATTTCTTCATTGATCATATATATATTTCAGTTATACGCATCCAACGAACATTTTAATTATATATATATATACATATATATAAGAATTCGGTTAAAGCCAGTGATGTTTGGAAACTACCTTTAAGATATTATTTTTTTGTTTTTTTTTTTTGTTTTTTTGTTTTTGTTTGTTTAAATAGCTGAAAAAAGCTTTTCTTGTCTGTACGGAAAGCAAGAATTTTCCAGTTACTCGACACTATGAAGAAGTTTCCTACAAGATGTTTTTAACATAGTAACCTTTTACCACGCTTCTATTGAAGGCAGATTTTCTCTGTCCTTTGTTTATAAAACGCTTGGTACTATGTACACCCTGCAACGGGTTTTTTTTTTTTTTTTTATATCTATGTAATATACATAGTCACACAAGACACGTAGTGACTGGTGATCGTAATGTATTTTTGAAAAGTTACGAGAGTTTATTCTGAAAGCTCTTACATATCATAAGATTTTTTACCGGCGATTGTTGTATATAGCACAGATTTGACCAACCAAAGAAATTACACACTCTTTTTCCATCAGCTAATTTTTTAATTTCAACCAATTTTATTGA